GCCGAGAGGCGTCGGGAACGACCGCCAGACAGCCGAGTTAGCCTCAGGTAGTTAAAAAGAACCCCTCCTTTTCAGCAAAAGGATGAAGTTTCCCGCACCGGGAAGCGTTATCCCAGCACCCGCCGTCAGCAGGAGGATGAGGAGGAAGAGGCGGAGGAGGAGGGGGAGGAGGAGGAAGAGGAGGAGGAGGATGTGGTTGCGTGGGGGAGGTGTTTCTGTTTAGGCTGTTTGGCGCGGTGCTCAAAGTTATCGTTCGGCTAAAGTCCCCCCCCTGGAATGTATTAAGATGGGTCCGGTGCTACGGATAACCCAGGGGGGGTTCTTATTACTTGCCTGAGGTTATGGCCCGGAAAGCAGGGGTACCGTCAAGAGGGATAGGCTCAGGGGGGTATGCAACGACCCCTAATCGTCGCTCATTCATCGCCGACAGTAGCCCGATAACCCTACCACGCGGTTGAAGGGGGTTGACGGGGGGCCACCCTGTAAGAGTTCGCGACGCGCCGAGAGGGGAAATCAGAGGGGGCAGAATTTCCCACATGGCGGCGAGGCTTCTCAGAAACATTGGCTTCGGAGAAGGCTTAGAGAGAATCCTCCATGGCTTCGGAGAAGGCTTCGAGAGCTTCTCAGCAGGCCAGAGGCCTGCTGAGTTTTTGAGAAGGCCCGCCCTCCTTCCTTACCCCCTGGGCGCGCCGCCGAACGAAGGCAGCGGGGCTTTACATCCGTCGGCTGGGTTGCTAAAGGTCTGGGGGTCCCCGCACGGTGCGGTGTCCACACCGTGTAGTGAAGCAGTGGGGATTCGGGGTGACCGCACGGTTTCGAGACTTGGGGTCGTTCTCTCGGGATGTCTCGGGCAATTGGGACCTCCAAGGCCCCAAAACCGTGTGGTGACGGACCGTCCGGTGAGGTCACCGCAAGGTCTGTGACTGCACGAATGGAGCCCCCAGCGTGGGTCCTTGGCGGGAGTCAGGGGTTTGGGGTTTTCGTGAGTCCTACGTCTGTTCTTGGAGGCCAAGCGCGAGAGCGTTTCAGGGGTTCCAGGATCGTCCCGACCGGCCGCCAGAGACCCGAGATGTGTCCCGAACGGCAGGTGCTCCTCCCTGGCCCCCAGGTGTCCGCCGCCTCGCGCCGTAGCTTGTGCTGGCCCTCCTGGGCCTCGCGAGGAGGGGAGGCCCTGGAGGCCGCGCGGGGCTGGGCCAGGAACTCTGGCAGCACCCGGGCGCGGAGGCGCCCCTCTTCAACGGCTTCAAAAACCGTCCCTGCCCTGGTTTACGAGGTGCTGCGCGCTGAACCTCCTGTGGGCTTACAGGGTAAACCCTGCGCATCGCGCGTGCCGCGCGGCGTCCTGGCGGGTCTTGCCCTCGAGCTTACAGACCACGCGCTTGTAACCCAGGGCAGGGGCGTTTTTACATCCCTCAACTTCTGGTGGGGGGACCAGGGAGGGCTGGAGCGGGGATAGAGGGGCGAGGTTCGAAGATCGACGTTCGGTGCCCGGACGCCCTAACGTTAAGTCGGGCCTGTCCCCCAACAGGAGAGGAACAATCAAGACTTATAAAAATTATAGTCTGGGGACGATTTGTCTAATATTTTTCAATCTTTTGAATATTTTTCTTTTCGTCCAAAATCCGCCCGTAGGGTGACACGCCCGCCTTACCCCTAACGCCTTGCGCAAGTCACGACACGGCGGTGGTCTCCCTGCCCAGACCTCCACGTCTTCGCGGCTCTGGCGTGTCTGGCTGGGCCCATCGGGGGGCCCCGGGGGGAGAGCTGGCCCCCGAGAGGGGTCGAGGATCGATTATCAGGCGATCGCAAACATGGATCAAGGGAGCGTGGATTAGCGACGGGGCCCGCTTGCATGGGAAATCCTGGATTTCCGCCGCCGAACGAGGCGGCACCGGCCGCATTTTTGGGGGACGGCACCTCCCCCGATCCATGGGTTTGGCGACCGCGCGCCAAATCCATGAATCGCTAGTCCATGTTTGCGCGCCCCCGAGAAAAAGCGGGCCCGAGCGTTGCGGCAACAGGGTCACGAAGTCAGAGGTCTGGACAGAGGGGCCCCGAGGCAGCCTTGGCATCCTTGGGTTGCGAAAGCTGCAGCAGCAGCAACGAGCACACCGATGCCGGGCACACCGTTGCAATACGAGGCATGTAAACACACACACACACATCGACTTTGGTGACATGTGCTTCTGATGCTTTCGATCTGCAGGGGCTCCTGCCGGGCCCCGTGTCCGTCCAAGGGCGATCCTAGGGCCCCTAGGAAGGCGTTGGGACCTCTGGGGATCCACGTTGTGACAAACGTGTGGCGCCGGCTGTCTGCGAAGCCTTCCTGGAAGCCCCCGCTCTTGCTTCCGAGGCTGGCACTTGTCCGTATCTACCGCCGGGGAAATCGATCTCTGTGGACCGCAGGAGGCTGTGGATACGGATGCAGTCTGGCACCTTCTGGGCCCGCGCGTTCGATGTCCCTCAGGCCTCATGTTACTCCAGTGTGCGTTTACCCCGTCCGGCTCCGCCCATAGCCAGCAGCCTGTCTTCCTCCTCCTCCGCCTCCTCCTTCTCCTCTTCATTACGTCGCCTGCGTCGTATTGAACGGCTTCGGCGGACTGGCACACGTTGGCGCTAGAACGCGTTCTGGGGATCTAGCAGATTCGTGCCCACTACTCGGGGAAACGTAAGACTCGAGTGAGCTGGAACTCGGGTCTGCCGACGTTTTTTGACGAGCGCGCCCTGGATTTTCACGGCTCAGTTTTCGTGGGATGCTCGCAACGGGAGTTCGCGCCAAATTTCGGATTGGGTCTCGTCATTGTCACGATGGCCCCGTCAGGCCAACCCGAGTCCCCCGTCCCCCGAGTCTCTTACGTCTCCCCGAACCACCCACTGGGTCGCAGGCCTAGAGGTTGACACCAACACCAAGATCGGCGGTGTGCCTCCACCGAGGGAAGACGATCCCGATCTCGGTGATGGTGGTAATATTCTGGCTTCCAGGGTGACTGAACTATTACCACCAACAGCGAAATCTAGGATCGTCTTCCCAATGTGGAGGCAACCCCCTGTGCTGGTGTTGGTGCCGATTTCCAGGCCGAAGGCTCCCCAGGCGGTGGGCCCGGGCCGCCCACGGGGGCGCGAAGATGCGCGCACGCCGCGCGCCGCGGCCTGGGCCGGGTCTCCCAGGCCACGGCTCACCGCCCAGGCTCACCTGCGGCTCGGGCAGGCTGGCCCGCGCGGCGACCCCTGGCCTGCCTGGCGGTTGTCTGCCCCACGCTGCAGCGCCAGACGCGTTGCTGCGAGATTCGGCGGCCGCGCCCTCGACCCCTGGCGCAAGGCAGGGGCGGCGAGAGCACGCGGAGCCGCGGAGGTGGTCGCGAGACGCGCGCCGTGGCCCGGGCTGGAGCGGTGCCCTTCTCCGGCGAGGGGACGTGCCGCGACCGGGCGCGGGGGCGCGAAGATGGCGCGTCACGGTCGGGGCCGGAGGGCCGCCCTCCTCCGTGGGGTGACTGGCGAGGGCGCGGGGGCGCGACGATGATCGCGCGCCTTGAATCGCGGGGCGCGATGCGCGACGTTGAGTGAGTGGATCGGGGCTTGCCGCGCCCACTCATTCCAGCCCAGCCCTGTCGATCTCTTCCCAACCGCTCTGGGTTCGTTTCGGCCACCGCACTCTTGTCCAGCTTTGGCCAGGTCCAGTTTCGCGCCCGCCTGCGAAGAGGACCAGCGTGCGCCCAGGCGTCAAGGAGGAGCTGCCCAAGCAGCGGCGCCTCTCGGGAGTCTCCCTGGCCGAGGCCCCGCGCTCGCGGCTGTCATCGCGCAGGCCCCCGTCGTCAGCGTTGTCGTCCTAGTCGTCGTCGCCGCCAAACTTTTCAAAAGCAACAAATGCGGCATAGACATGTGCTTTGGGAGGTCCGCCTGGATTTCTCGGAGCGGCGCTGGACCCTTCGGCCCATGGCGCGCGGAGCGCACAATGGGCGGCGCCGGAGGCGTCGCCTGGTGGGTCCAGCGCCAATCCAGGAAACTTGCGTGGACCTTCGAAAGATCGTTCATGTCAATATTCAATTTTTCGCTCACCAGCAATTGAGGTTCGGGGATCGTGGTTCTTGGATTTTTCTGGACTGTTCTGGTTCTCCAGGACTCTCCTCGAGGCCATTGCTGGATTCCCCTCGAAATCCGGTTAGAACGTACCCCTGGTGCACCCCAGGCACGCTCTGTGCGCTAGCGCTGGCGACAGCGGCGATAGCGTCCGCAGACGTCCTGTCGGTTACACGTCACTAAGAGTGACCCTTCGCCAGAGTGACCTTTGGCCAGCACGATCGAAGATTGGGTATTGAATGAGTTGCGGCGAAGACTGGAATGGGCACGGAACTCCAGGGGATTGTTTTTTCGCCCCGAATCCGTTTTTGGTGGTCTCAGGGCCCGACAACGGGCTCTATGATGCCGAAGCTGAGGAAGAACGCCAAGACTGAGCAACATCTCATCTTTGGGTATCTGGGTCCCAGACGGGCCCCAGACTCTGGAGGATCGAGATGGCCACGGGAAGATTGAGGACGAAGGCCGACAGCAGTTCTTGCCCCCTTGGAGCAGGACTTGAAACAGTAGCCTGCCCAACGGCGGTCGTCGTCGGTTTTAAACGACATGTGATGTGGGCATCGTGCCCGTGTTTCGCTTACCCTGAGGTCGGGCGTGTCCCTCTACAGGAGGAATATTCAGAAATTCAAAAGATAGTCAGGGGACGATTTCTGGGTTTTGTTTTACATTTTTTTGGACTGGATTGGAGTATTATTGCTGTATGTTTAATTTGTCGTCAAAATTCCGCCTGTATGGGGGACATACCCGACTTAAGCCTACTACTGTCGGGCGTGCCAATTTGGCTCGCAGCTCCCGAGAGGCGTGGGAGGGGGTGGGGGCGGGCAGAACGAGGCACGCAGGCCGCTACCTGTCGCACCGCATACAAACAAAGGTCGACCCGGGGAGCCGCGGGGGAAACAACAATGATATAAGCATACAAACTCTGAGGTCCACGCGAGCTTTTCGGATTGGCGCTGGACTCCCCTTCCTCTGCTGCGCGGAGCGCGCCAAGGGCGGCGCCGGAGGCCGCCAGGGTGCCCCAGACCTTCGAGTTGTTATGTTTGTGTCATTGTTTGTTATTCCAATGCGCAGCCGAGTCTGCCAGCCGCATGTGGCTTTGGGTCTCCCTGTAGGCATTCGCGGAGCCCCTCGCGGCCCCCCTCCGCCGGCTCCTTCTGCGCGTTCGCGGAGGAGCGCGCGGCGGTGTTCCGGCTCGCGAATCCGCTGCCCTACTTCACCAGGCAGGGACGGCCTTCCGTCACCCCAATCGATCCGATCCGATGTCGATGTCAGCCCGCTCAGTGCGATGCGATTCCGTGATTCCGTCGTTCCGACGATGCGATGCGGCCCGATTCTCACATGATGTTTTTGTGCACGTTGGCGCGGCCGATCCGCTTCGACTCCAACTCCGTGGCGTCGCGGCCCAGCCCGACGCGCGTTCCGATCCGATCCGAGCTCTGTGATCGACGCGGACAGATCCTGCCAGGGTCGGCGGCAAGTTCGAGACGCGGCGCATGCACGAGTGGAGCTCCACTCACTTCACCGCGTGCCGCCTGAGGACCTCGGGGGCAGCGCCAGGGGGGGGGGGGTGAGAGGCTCGGAGGGGCGGCGCATCGGCCCCCGAGCGCCCGTGGATCGCCGCTCTGGGCTCGACGGCCCGTCTCGCCCAGGGCCGTGCGGTCTGGCTGCCGGCGAGGAGGAGGAGGAGGAGGAGCAGGAGGAGGAGCCTCGCCTGGATCTCAGGCACGGGCCTGCCGGCGAGCTATCGGCGCCGATTCCAGCTCGAGGCTCCCGCCCCCGAGCCGGCCCGTCCCCCGGCCTTCCCCCCTTGAGGACTACGGACATGCTGCTGGACGCCGCGATGGAGGCGGAGGTGGAGCGCGTGGCGGCGCACCTCGCGCGCACGCGCGAGCAGTACCTCAAGGAACGGGTGGCCGCGCAAGAGGGTCGGCGGCGCGCCCAGTGGGATTCCCCAAACAGTCCCGTGAGGCCCACGGGGCCTTCAGACTCCCAGAGCATTCTTGACGAGGCCCAGGAGTCGAACGGTGGCGAAGCGTCCTGGCGTCCTGGTTTTTCGTTCTTAGAACACCCTTGGGTTATAATAACAAGTCGTGGTAGGCCTACAGGAATGCCGGGACGGTCGGTCCCTGCTCAAATGAGGGCCCCAGAACGGCGCGGAGCGCTGGGGGCACCCCGCTTTTGCAACTCGCGATTCCTAGCCTCCAATTAATCGTGTCCAGAGGAGCTCTGAGGATGACCGTCGGCTCGGACGCCGTATGGCTTTGGGCTCCAAGCTCAGTTCTCCCGTGTCCGTTCGGGACGATCTGCGCACCGCCGGCACGCCCTCGGCGAGGCGCAGCCGCCAGAGAGGACCCCGAGGCTGGAAAGCCGCCAGGAGCCGGCGGAAACGCCCTCAAACTCCCCCCTTCAGTGCGCCTCCCTCTCTCACCTCCGCCCTCAGCGTGCCGCCGAGAGTCGGCGCCGAGCGAGAGGGGGAAGTGAGGAGGGGCGGGCCTCTCAGAAGGCTCGGAAGCCCCCCAGCTTACTGAGAAGTTTCTCAAGCCTTCCCCGAAGCGCCGAAGACACAGGGTGCTTCTCAGGAGGCGCGAGGGTTTTTGAGAAGTCCCGCCGCCTTCTGAGATGGCCTTCTCCTCCTCACTCCCCCCTCGCTCACCGCCAAGAGAGGAGACCCGCGCGGCAACCACGATCCAGAAGGCGGCGCGCGGCCGGCAGGGGCGCAAGCGTGCGGATGCGGCGCGGGCGCTCGGGCAGCGCAGGCAGGAGGCGGCGGTGCAGATCCAGCGCGTCGCGCGCGGCCGCCTTGCCCGCGGCCGCGTCGCCGAGCTGCGGAGGAGCCGAAGAAGAGCAATGTCGGCACAAGCACGGGATGCTTCGGATCGAAGAAGAGCAAACGCCATAAACATACGTTTTCGGCACTCCGCGCGGATATCTTGGATCTGCGCTTGCCCCCCCCCCCGGCAGCGCCTCTGGCGCCGCCCCTGGCGCGCTCCGCGCGCCGGGGAGGAGGGTCCAGCGCAGATCCAAGGAATCCGCGCGGAGCGCCACAAGTTGTATGTTCCTCTTCTACCAGAGGGGCTCGATATACGTGGACACCAGTCCTCGGTCGGCCAGTGAGCAAAGTTTGACGAAGGAATCCTGTGAAGGACTTTCGTGTACGGACGCTCCAGCGTCCCAGCTGGGGCGTCTGTACACCGCACGACGTGATGTATACATCGAGCCTCCTCCCAATGCCTGGGACATGAGCGTCATCTTTCCGAGGGCCGCCCGCATTTCTCGGTTCGACGCTGGGCCCTCCTGGCGGCGCCCACGTCTCCGCCCTTATGGTGCGCTCCGCGCCCCAGGGAGGGGGGGTCCAGCGCCGATCCATTAATTCTTCGCGGGCCTCCGGAAGTTCATTGTTCTGCAGTTTTTCTTCCTCTAGATGAAGGTCTCTCAGCCTCGGGGTGCTTTCCATTAGGTGCGCCTCGTCGAGAGCGTGCAGCGGGTACTCGGATCGGCCGGGATCGTCACCTGGGGCCCTGGTGATGGCCCGCAAGTCTGGCCATGAAGGATTTGGATTTCTTGGACCGTCCAACGTCGCCTCAGGATGGCAAGTTGGTCTCGGAGAAAGCCCCGGGGTCCAGGACCCGCTTCCCTCGAGACCCATGTCCTGCATGCTGGACGGAACGGTGTACGTCCGCGCGGATCTCTTGGGACGGCGCTGTGCCTCTCCAGCGGCGCCTCCAGCACCGCCCCTGGGCGCCCTCCGCGCGCCGGGGAGGGGAGCCCGGCGCCGGCCGAAGGGATCTGCGCGTGGCCCTCCGAGAGCCGGCTGCCCGTGTGCGGGCTGTGGCCCCCTCCCGAGGAAGGCGGCGGCCCCTGCCAGCCGGCGAGGGGACAGGCCGAGGAAGAGGCTCGGGGGCCACGTTTCGGGGGGGGGGATGCTTGCTCGACGTGAGAAACTGATCGGCTGCGGCAGCGCTCTTGCACAAGCTGCCCGCGCAGGGCCGCGCGGCCTGCTTTCCAGAGACCGGGGCGTGAGGTCCCCGCGCCCGCGTGCGAGAGACGTTGGTTGCCCTTCGTCGGTCGAGTGCCCTACAGTGGAGGCCCATCCCAAGAAACAGCCCGCTTGCCTCCAGGGTGCCCTCGATTACTTGGGTTTCGATGGACGTGCTGGCGTCTCAGGGTCGGGTTCCTTTGGAAGCTTGCTTGTGGACTGGCCTCCACTGTACGCTCGGGAGGACGCGTCGATCCCCAATCGCCCTTTCACGGCCGACGGGGGCCCGATGGCACACCCCGCCCAGGATCGTGCGGAGTCGCCATCGGCGCCTTATCGCCGATCTCGGCGATGTATCGCCGATTCGAAGGTCGATGTTCCCCCCCCCCTGAGCCAGCCTCCCCCTGCCACTCGAGTAAACAATTCAATGAACCTAGATTATCGGAGCTCCGCGAGGATAACTTGCATCGGCGGGACCCCCCTTCCCGGCTGTGCCTTCAGCGCCGCCTCTGGCGCGCTGCGCGCGCGGCAGGGAGGAGGCTTCCAGCCCCGACCCGAGAAGTCCGCCCAGCGCTTCGACAATTCATGTTCACCGGGTTGTTTCATATTTTAATCGTCTTGGAATCGCCCGGAGATAAGCATTCTCTCGGCGTGGACTATCGGGGAACATATTGAATCATCGTGCGAGGAAATGAACGCATATACGCGCACGAAATCGACAAATGCACGGGGAATAGACGTCTGAGCGATGCCGATAATCGTTGCCCTGTTCAGAAGGGCGCGACTCCCTCAGATCCGACGTTGCGATTGAGCCTCTGCAGCACAGACAATCATGGTCATATCCCCAGCGCTGCATTTGTCAAACTGCACCGATCTGTGATGGTCGCGGGGCTAGAAAACGAGCGAAAACTGCAAGGCACGGACCTTAGGGGAATCAGTACACTCCACATCGTTGCCCCTCAAGAGGCGCGACCCCCTCGGGGTGCACGACGTCGTCCAGAACCGCAACAGCGGCCGGCGCCGCACCAGCGTGTCACGCTCGCCTGCTCCCGCCGGCGGCGCCCGCGTCAGCGCCCGCGGGGGCTCGCCGACGGCGAGTTCCCGCGGTGGTTCACCGCGGGCCATCGGAGAAGAAAAACACATGTGTGTATATCTGTAGGTATATACATATGTATATAGACATAGACATGCATAAGACGCTTGCAGCAGGAAATCCGAACAGCTTTACACAAAGGGTTCAGCAGTCCTCCGCCTGGCCCTGAGTACACAACTTCTAATCATGCATGCTGCCAACTACGACCAATACTCTTAGAACCATTATTCTGGAGGGTGGATGACAACGAATCGAAAAAAGTTCTTTGCTGGGTGGGGGTCGTCCTCCATTTTCGCAGTATGGTGAAGAGAACGAGAAACATAAAGAAAGAGGGACAGTGAAACACACAAAAAAGGGGAAGGGAGGATGGAGGGAAAGAGGGGGGAAGGCGAAGGGAAGGAGGCGAAGGAGGGAACGAAGGGGGAGGGAGGGAAGGGGGAGGGAGAAAAGGGGAGGAGGGAGAGAATGGGGAGGGAGGGGAAGGGGGAGGGAGGGAGGAGGAGGGAGGCGACCACGAGAGCTGGAATGTTCATGCGGCCCCGTGTCTTTCCAGCGCTCGGCTTTGCTTCCGCGCGCACGCCGAGCATCCGCATGCGTATCTAACGAGAAGCGCGAGTATATCCGTGCCTTATCGAAGTATGTATTCGATTATTTGTTATTGTGGTGTCCCCTGAACCAACATCCCTCTCATGCTGCCCTGCCCGTACGGCTCCAGTTCAAGGCAGGCTCGAAGTTCAAATGGAGACGTCGAGGCCAGTGCCTCCCAGCCGCGCTCCGACGCCCTACCGCATCGGTTTGGTCGTTGGAGCGGCGCCCAAGAATTGTTATTTTTCCTCCTCTTTCCTTTTCCTTGTTTCTTTTCCTACTTCCTCCCCAGATCATGCAATTCTCGGGCGTGGCGCAGGCAGAGGCCACAGCGCAGGCAGAGCTCGAGTGGACGGAGCATGAGCGCATCAGGCGCAGCAAAGAGAGCGGGAAAAGAAGGAGAAGGAGGGGCAGGAACGCCAGCAGCGCCGGCGGGAGCAGCGCGAGCGCGAGCAGGAAAGAGCAAACAAACAAACACACATGCATTACAACCGTGGTCAGTGCCATCATGGACCACCGTGCTTGGCCAGGGCCATCCAGACACCTTCCTGGCATCACGAAAACGACGACGACGACCGCGACGACGACGACGACGACGACGACGACGTTAGCAGGGTGCACGCGCAACCGTCGAGGGCCCAGATGATCCTGGCCAGGCATTGGGGTAATGCGCACATGCGACAGCATTCTCCTGCAAGAGTGGATGAAGAGCCTCGCCTGCAAATTCTGGGCGCAGGGCCGGCGCAGGGCCGGCGCCGCGCGCGAGCGGTTGCGCTCGTGCCGAGCGCTTGACCTCCACAAGTGGGGGCCCCCTTGAGCGCCGCTGCCTGGCCGCGCCGACCTGGTCCGCCCCGGCCGGCCTGGGAGACCGCGCGCGCCCGATGGGGATTTCGCCCGCGGGGGGGGGTGAAAAAGAGAAGGAGAGGAGGAAGACAAAGAACATCTGAGCATCTTTGCTTTGTTGCCTCTCCCGCCCCGCCCCCCCCCCCCCACCCCACCCCGCCCCCTCCCCCCTTCGCCCCCCTCCGGGGCCAAGGAGGCCCTAGCTCGAGACAGGCGCGGGCCTGCCCGTGCTAGTTGCCGCGATTGGCCCGAACTTACAAGCCGGCGGCGCTGCGCCAATTGCTTGTGGGATAACCCCCCTTAGATTTTGGTTAACGCTATGTGTGGCGGCGCGACATCGTTCGGCGCGGAAAGAAAACAACCAGGGAATGCGAATCACCTTATGAGAGACGCGGATGGTCGAGTTGACAATGCAATGCCCGTGCTAGTTGCCGCGATTGGCCCGAACTTACAAGCCGGCGGCGCTGCGCCAACTGCTTGTGGGATGACCCTCCTTAGATTTTGGCTAACGTTATATGTGGCGGCGCGACATCGCTCGGCGCGGAAAGAAAACAACCAGGGGATGCGAATCACCATATGAGCGACGCGGATCGTCGAGTTGACAATGCAAGTTGCAGTTTGGCAAAGAAATTCCGGCTACATAAGAAGATTGCTAATTTGAGAAACAAATGGGTGCTCGATTAAGTTAGTTTCGTCCGCCGACCCTTTGATCGACGTGGGGACGTCGTTGCTGTCCTGGGGCGGAGTTGCGTTGTCTCGTTTCTCTGGGTGGGCGGGCTCGAGGCTCTTCGGGGCCATCCCCGAGCTTGTCCGGGGGCATGCGGGGCCGCTCACGGGGCGAACCTCGCGCTCAGGTGGCCCCGAAGGGGTTGGCGGATGCGGGTTGCGTTACATGTGTCCAGGCACGCGACAAGGCAGTGATCCGTAGCGGTGGCGATGGTGATCGGTGGTGGTGATAACGGTGATGGCGGTGGTCACGGCGCGGGCGATGGCGATGATGAGGCTGGTGGCGATGGCGTTGATGATGGGGCGCGGAGATGGTGACGCGGCAATGGTGGTGGCCATGAAGATGATCGTGGTGGTGATAGTGATGGCGGTGGTTGTGGTGGTGACGGTGGCGTTGGTGGTCTAAAGCTGTTTCTGATGATGGTGACGGCGATGTCGATGTCATCAGGATGGCGACGATGAGGGCGAGGGGGGGGGATGGGGAGATGGAGGAGGGAGAAGAGAGGAAGGATCAATGAGGAGGACGAGGAGGAGGAGGAGACGCGGAGGAGTGCAAAGTGGAGCGGAGGAGGAGGAAACTCGCCGCCTCGTCGCCGGAAGACGCGCGGTCTCGCGAGAAGAAATTCCTCGACGCCGTCGCCATTTATGCGAATCAGGACATGCGTTGCCACGTCGGGGAGCAGAGAGCTGCGCAGTGGGCAAAGGAGCGAGGAGAACAGCTGCTATGGGTCGCAGCCGGAGGCCGCCCGTGCCACGGGGGGGAACAGAGGCGGCCGCGCACGGTGGAGGACAAAGCGCGGTGGCTGGGGTACCACGACAAGGAGTTCTCTAGCTTGCCGGGCTGGCTACCTCTGGCGAATGGGGATGCCCGTGGCTTTGCCGGGTTATTTGGATCGATCGAAGAAGCAGCTACTGCGGGGGCGCGCAACAACAATCGATGGATGGGCGTTGCACGAGGGCGAGGCCTGGGAGATGAGGACGAGGAAGTCTGGTTGTGCTTGCCAGGAGTGATTGTTTTTTTCCTACGAAGGACTGGCGCCAGCTAGGCTGGGAGCTGGGTACGTATCCGATCTCCCAATCGAGAAGGCGGCAATGGTCCTTCGACGGGTATCGGGGGCATCCAGTATTGAGTGCGAAGCGCGCCCAGTTCATGATCGCCCCTTCGTTGGCAGCGACGGCGCGCTCAGCGCAAGGCCGAACCGCGGGGGCAGCGATGGCGGACCCTGAGAGAGGGCGCGGCGCGAATGTCCAGTTGCGTTGCCATCGCGCGCTCGCGCCGGCGAGAGAACCCTGCGATCTCCCGGCCCTTCGAGAGGAAGCCGCGCAACGAATGTGAGATGGCTGGCGCGAAGAAGCCTCTGCAGGTGCTCCGATGGGGCGCGCGTGGATCGGGGTGGGTGCGCGGCGCAACTGACGCCGCGAGACCAGCGCGAGCGGTGCCGGCGGAGACTGCCTGAGGAGGCTTTTTCAAAGCGCGAGTTTTCAAAGGGCAGAAAGGCAGAAAGGCCAGCGCGCTGCAAAGAACGCGCGGCGGATATGAAGAGCAAGGAGTGGGCAGGCAAAGCGGGTAAAGAGGAGGGGGGTCGGGCAGTCGGCGATGTGGGCGGAGGTCTAGCGGGCGAGGCCGAGGGGGGTGGAAGGGCTCGGACCGCGTATTTTGCAATGCGCACGCATGTGAAAGCAAGGGAGAAGTCGCGCATGGGCAATCCCATGTGGAACGACCGCGTCGGCGCAGCACGGCGTTCGAACGACGCGTGCCTGTCGCTATTCGAGGAGCGGCGGCGGCGTCGGAAGCGCAGCAGAAGCGCGATGCAGCAGGGGGGATTTGCCAGAAGTGCGCCGCTGAGCGAGAAAAGGCGGCGGCGCGAGCCAATTTCGATCTGCGAGTGCGAAGCGGAAAGGCGACGCAGAAGCGAAACCGCTGACGCGCGCGACGCGCGGGGGAGTTTTTCCTCTCGGGCGCGAGAAATTTGTGGAAGGGGCAAGCTTAACATCGTCGAAAGCAGGAAGGGCACGGAGCGGCCCTCGGCAGGCGCGACAAGCGGGGCGTCGCTGCGAGAGGCGTAGCCGATGAGCCGAAGCGTTTGAAGCGGCTGCTGACGCGCGCGGCGCGCCCGGATGAATTCGCCCGGCAGCAGCGCATCAGCGACGAACAGGAGAGTAATCATTTCACGAGGAAGAGTAAAGTTGCATGCGCACAGCGCATTGCCGACGGGCTTGCGGCGCGCAGCTGGCAGGGCCATCAATGCAGCGGCGAGTGTCAGAAGAAACGGCCGAAGTCGCCTTCCTCCGTGGACAGTTGCAACGTCGCCCGCGACGATCAGAAGGGCGCCCTGAAATGCAAGGCGCGCGAATTATGCCCATGCGAGCGCCGGTGCCACGATCCGTAGAAGCGCGACCGACGGGGGCGAGAGCGAGAGGGGGGGCGGGGGAGGGCGGGGGAGATGCGGAGGAGGGTCGTCGGATGAGGAGGAGAATGAAGAGTGACGACGTAGGGGAATACTTGCGAGCGCCCGCGCTCATAGACGACAGGCGTCGATCGAATGTCCAGGCGAGTTGTTGTCGAATGGGGCGCGGCGCACCCCGCCACCTTGCTGGGTTCGCAGGTGTGCGACCGCGCGGATGGCAAGGGGGATCTCGTGGGGGGCCCGACGGGGTCGTCGGGCATCTTGGGGGCTTCCTTGGGCCTTCTTGGAGGCCTCGGAGGTCTTCTCGGAGGTCTCTCAGGTTCTTCTGGGGTGTTCTTGGAGCAAGCTGGCGGCGTCGTGGGGCCGAGGGCTCGACAAGGTGCAGTATGGGCTCCGGCTTTGAGCCGTCTGGGGGCCTTCTTGGGCTGTCTTGGGGGCTTCGTGGGCTATCGTTGGACCCTCTTC